CGCCTGCCTGATTCCCCCTCCCCGCCTCTGCCTACCAGCCTGATCCCGCCCCGCAACTGCTCCCCTGCAGGCCTGATTGACGCCTAACTGCTCCCCTGATGGCCCAATCGCCCCCAACTGCCCTCCCCTGCCAGCCTGATGGCCCCCAATTGCCCTCCCTTGCCAGCCCGATCGCCCCCAACTGCCCTCCCCTGCTGACCTGATGGCCCCCAACTGCCCTCCCCTGCCGGCCTGGTTGCCCCCAACTGCCCTCCCCTTCTGGCCCGTTCACCCACAACTGCCCTCCTCTGCCAGCCATCTTCTGATGGCCATCTTGTGACGATGTGGGGCAGCCATCTTGTGATGACGTGGGGGTGGCCATCTTGTGATGACATGAGGACGTTGCATGAGGGCGTGAGGGCCACCTAGGCTTTTATTAGTATAGATGTCTCTACCTCAGTGTTATTACTTAGTGAAGTTTTCCAAATCACAAGGACCAGGAACCTCATTTCAGCTGATTTTGGCTTGCTCCTAAATTTCTGAGGCTATGACTTTCAGAGTACAATGTTCATTTACTTTTGGACATGTACACAAATTGTTTAGAAACTAGCAGAAAATAAATGTGCATTTCCTTCATTAAACAGATGTTCAATGAGATCCCAATTTTTTGGCTTGTTTATCTTGAGAAAAATGTGTTTTTAACTTCTTACTGACAAATGCTAAAGCAATCAGATAATGGCAATAGCAATAAAGGAAACTAGGTGTGATCCTTAAACCCCACAATGAGATATAAATGGGGAGCAAGATCACCTGACCATAGATGGTAACATATTGCCAAACAAAGTGAAAACAGAAGACTACAATGGTTAATTCAGAACCTTTATCATTCTAAAAACAAAATTTTGTTGGAGGTATCCTCAGGTAATGAGGCTACCATGTGAGAATTGTGCTTCTTATTCTATTGAATGTAATCTTCTTTATAATCCTTCTTCCTTCCACCCTCTTCCCATCTAAAAACTCAGCAAAATTCCAAAGATATACATCTAGTTAAAAAGGAGAGAATAAACTCTTGACTTCCTCTTTTAGAATATTACCATCCTACTTATACTAAGTGAGAACAGAAGGATAATGAAGTTCTTTGTGCAATGTTTCATTAATGAACTTAATTATCCTTAGAAGGCAGGTAAGGATAAAGCAGAGTCTATTTTAATTTATTAGAAATAAGCTTAGGGTGAGTAATTTCTAAAACAATGGGGCATTTCAGGAGACTTAGGAGTTTTAATAAAGCTAAGGGGTTGAATTAAATACAACTTATAAAGCAATGTGTTGAGTATTTTCTCCCCCAGGGAACCATAGTAAACTATTCACGTGGCTCCATGACAGTCATTTTTCTTTTATTAACATGGCCTTTTTTCTGCCTCCTAATTCTTCTTCCTTTTGAAATATTCTAAGTATCCTAGTTTTTTTTTAATACACTGCTTTATAAAGCATTTTTAAAAATAAATTAAAATACCTTAGCTATACATTACACTCAAAGGTCTGACAAGAACAGGAATAGGCATTTTTCCTAGAGCAGGGGTGGGCAAACTTTTTGACTCGAGGGCCACAATGGGTTCTTAAACTGGACCGGAGGGCCGGAACAAAAGCATGGATGGAGTGTTTGTGTGAACTAATATAAATTCAAAGTAAACATCATTACATAAAAGGGTACGGTCTTTTTTTTTTTAGTTTTATTCATTTCAAACGGGCCGGATCCAGCCTGCGGGCCGTAGTTTGCCCACGGCTGTCCTAGAGTCACACCACATATAATTAAAACATAGATTCCTTAGATGGGGTAATTGGCCTATTAATTATATCTTCAAAGAGGATTATAATGTCTCAAACTCTACAACCACAGAAACTCAGTAAGTTCCCTCACCAAGGGAAGATCTGATGCTACATCTTGCTTACTCCACCTAGCCCTTCTACCTCCCCAGGTCAAGAAGCCCCATTTAATGGTATGCTAGTGAAAGATTTGGGGAAATCCAACAGACTATGAATGAGATAATAATTGTGCTAAATAAGCTATTTTACCATCACTTGAGGAAGCTCTAGTGTTAGAGGCCTCCTTAGCTTACAAATAATTAAACTTTTTACCCAATGATCTAAAAAGAGTTCCAGGAAACAAATACTGCTATAAAAGCTATGGCTATTCATAAAAGCATTTTCTTGGGGTAAACTGCTAAAATGCAATGTACATTTGATTCCTGAACATTTATGCATGCATATAACAATGTTTTCCTAAATTGCTCTTCATTTAAAAACAATAATTTATCAAAAATGCCTCATGGATACTTGCACATCACTTAGTCATTTCATAATATTTATTAAGCATTCAAGAATATTCCAGAAAATGTGTGTGGGGGGAGGGGAAGGAGATAGGAATCCTACTCCTGAGACATTTGCAAAATATTAAAGATTTAGAAATAGCTAATATTTATATAATACTTGGAGGATTTCAAATTGCTTTCACAAACATTATCACATATTCCTATGCAGAGGGTTAATGCCTTTTTACCAGAAAGGAGTTCGATAAGTGTAGCAGATCTATCTAGAAGCAGGGAAAGAAAAAAAATCAGGAACAGATCACGAAATTTACCTCTGTGGCCGATAATCGCTTATCTCCATTATCACTTCCAACGCCTGAATCAGAATCCTTCTTGCTGAGATAGATGCCATCAATATTGAAGTCATATAAAAAAAATAAAATCACAAAGTTCACAAGATACGTCAATTTATATTCAAATAATGAGTTTGCTATAGAAATTGTTATTATTACGACAAGGCAGCAAATCAGTTCCGTATTAAAGGATGTTAAGACAAGGGCCTAATGAAAACCAGATACTTATACTGTCTAAATGGAGCACAAAATAAATTATTTGTGTTCAGGGTTTCATGGATTTACACTTTAATCAAGTAATTTTTTTTGAAACAGTTAACAATTTTCTTATTTTACTGATTCTAGCATATAAAAAAAGAAGAAAAAACCCTAATTGCTTTTACATCTTATGTTTTGAAATGTTGGTAATCTTGAATAATTCTGTAAACTTTAATCCAGTGACTAAATTTGATGGCATGTTTTAAAAAATAAGGAATACATATTTTAAGCAGTATATAAAGGTTCCACTAGGGTAGTCTGAGATATTAAGTCCCTAGTTCTCTTTTTTAATAAAAAGTTAAGGAAAGATTCCTGCAGTGAAGACTTCTCAAAAACAATCTGTGTTTTATAAGTGTTCAGTGTGGGAATTTCATTCTCCAAAAATTCAAGGCCTGATTTATGCCAACAAAAGGCCAAGGACATGTGAAAGGATTCTAACACTTCCATTCTAAACAGGAAATGGCAAACTATGCCTTCTGCATTCTAAAAAGACAATTAAGAAAAATAAAACCTGCAGTTTTTCTTAACAATGTTCCAGAGGCATATTAAAAAATAATAATTTAAAAAAGGCTTCATATTGTTGTTTTAATTGATAAGCAAAAGATACTTATGTTTATTTATTTTAATATGTTTTGATTGATTTTTAAAGAGAGAGGAAGGAAGAGAGAGATAACACCCATATAAGAGAGAAGCATTGATCAGTTGCCTCCTGCACAGGTGTCCAACCCACAATTTGGGCTTGTGTCCTGATGGGGAATCGAACTGGTGATCTTTTAGTTCACAGGACATCACTCAACCAACTGAGCCACACCGGCCAGGACCCTATGTTTATATTATAGACTAGTGACCCCGAATGTGAAATCTCGCGAGACCCAGACCCACGAGAAATCGGGCGAGGCCCGGGACCCCAGACCTCGCAGCACCGTGGGACACCCAGAGTCAAGTTCCCGCCCACCCGTGCGCTCAGCATCCTGGTGACCGGTCTTTGGTCGTTATGGTGTTAGGGCCACTGGGTTTTTATAATATAGATCATATATCATATATCATGTACCATACACACACACACACACACACACACACGAGTGTGCACATACACACAGCACTCAAGAAGGACTGATTTTTGATTAGGAGAGAGTATACAAGACTCGAGACATGCCAAAATGTTATCAATAACATCAATTTTCTCTTTCCTATTCCAAAAGTTTCTGGAACTCTAAGTTATAAATCTGCATTGGTTGAGTGAAGCAAAAAAATTTTGTTTAATTTAGTTACCTGGAATACCTTGGCCTTGGAAAAATTCTAAAAGGGGCTTTGAGCCAGGGCAGTCACACTCACCTGTCTTCCACATGCTGGTGTAATTGTGGCCTCTCCATCGTGTGCAGATAAAGAGAGTCAGTTGCTTTAATCTGACAGGCTTGTATGCTCAGATACTTGAATATGTGCACTTTGCCCTTTGTGCAAATCTATGGAGAAATTAATAATACTTATCTATTTTTAATGGCAAAACAAAGTATAAACACTAGATATCTCTGACTCTGTATATTATAATTTTTGCCTTTTCATTCTAAGAAATGCTTCAACAATGCACACCAAATTTGACCTCTACAAAACATATAAAAATTTAGGCAGTAATTTCCTCCAAATTCCACTTTGAATAGAAAATCATACTCAAGCAATGTACAGTCTTTTTTTTAAACTAAAATGCAAAATCCTAACAGAAATGTGTTTAAGTATAAATATATGAAAAATATAGAAGTCAGCTAACTGACGTGAAAAACTTTCAATTCTGGAAGCATATATATTTCATTTTTTTTCTCATAGCTTAATATTTGAACTTGAATCTTGTCTCTAAATAACCAATAATTATATTTCAAAATACTTAAGCTCCATTTTCCAGCTAACATTAAAATAAGGACTATATTAATTTTTTACTCCATGAAAAAGTTTCAAATATATGTACAAATAATAAAATAATCAAACATAATTCTGGATTGCGGCGATCAGAATAGTGAGCCCAATGCTGGCAAATGAACTTGGTGTAGAGAAGACAACTTATTGTAGTCAGATGCACCCAAGGTTTCATATTTTTAGAGACTGTAACTGCTTATGATCATGTCTAATGCAACATTAAATCAGCAGAATATTAACAAACTGGCTCTGGCAAGAGTTGCCTGAGCACATTGATAGCATATCCCACATATCTTTGCCAGACCCCTCACCTGTGCTGGAGGAGACTGCAAAGGGTTATTTTCAAGTAGTAATACTTGCAGCTGCTTCATCTCTCTAAAACAAATGGGAATCACGAGCACTTTATTGCAGGAAAAGTCAAACTTTACCAAGGGAAGATCTACTAGTTCTAAAGGAACAGAAAAAAGAGAAAAAAGAAGAAAAAGAAAAAAAAAACTCAGAAAAGCAACAAGATTAAATGGCCAAACATTCAGCAATTTATTTTCTGCTTATCAGTAGAAATGTCATTTAGCACAATCAAAAGCAAGTTGTTCATTAGGAATATATAATGTTTGCATAGATATAATATTTTAGCAAAGGGGAGGGGAAACCTTTCATTGGGAGTCCAATACATTTGAATTGTTGTTAGTTCTGAGAAGAGCTGAAAATACGTGATATTTACAATATTTATTGTTTAAAATGCTTTTATCCTCCCAGCAAAACAATCACATAAGTCACACCACACAGAATATGTTTTAACTTCAAAATGTTTTCAAGCAGTACTATGGTAGGCAGTTAGACATGAGCAGAGCAAGAATGATGGGCCAGGTAGAGAAGGTCACCAGTGTGCAAAGCCTCCCCTCACCCACCCCCCCATGCCTAGCAATGGACAATTGTAGGGTGGGACCTTGCGCCCAGGGTGACCTTTCCTCCCTTAGCATAGGACTTGTTATGTGGTTTAGAACCCCTGACCTTCCCTCCCTAGAGATAACATCTAGATTTCAGTTGCATTTCAGCTCCATGCCCAGATAAGTAACAAAACTAGACAAGCAACCCCATGGCAGACCTCAGGACCAGCTGAGTTGGATAATGACCCCCAGTCTTGGTGCTGACCAATCAATCAGTGGAAATCCTAACCCTGAAAGGACACACCTGGAAAGCTGCAGAATAGCCTATTGAGATCATCCCCTGGGACATCCCCTAAAAATCTCCACCCTTAAATCCCTTAGCATGGAGAACCTAAGGGTTGCTCTTCCTCCTGGGAGCATGCCTGCACCTTTCCCCTTCCTCTCCCTTTACCCCTCCCCACAGACATGTTACCTTTCTCACTTCTAAACTCCAAGGCCCTTCCTTTACCTCCATAACTAGTTTCCTTATCCCATTTCTTCTACAAATTACTTCTTCTACCTCTGTGATTTTCTAAATAAATATTCTCTTGTAGTTTGAGTCTTGACTTTGAATTCTTTCTTAGCCAGAACGCAAGTACCAAGGTTGCTGAACCCAGGTCCGGTCTGAACCCACATGGTGCCATTCTGGACACTGCCAACAGTACTTGATAACATATGAATAATATGCTAATTATAAAATATTCTTATCCATTTAATGTATCAAGGCTGGCATGACCTCAGAAGTAGTTATAAGAAATATGTTCATTTTTTTTAACTCCACTTTAAAAAATAAATGCTATCTAATTCAGAATTTGCAATGAACCCTATAATCCTAATTAGATAGGGCTTTATTCTGCTTAAAAAAAAAAAAAAAAAAAAAAGGCCTGGTGCACGAAATTTGTGCACGAGGAGGGGGGGTCCCTTAGCCCAGCCTGCCCCCTCTCACAGTCTGGGAGCCCTCAGGGGATGTCCTACTGACGACTTAGGTCCCATGGGGAGTGGACCTAAGCCGCAGTCTGGCCGCGGAGGCTTGAAGCAGGCGCCCCTCTGTGTTGACCTCTCAGGCTCGGTGAGAGCCGGGCCCCTCCTCGTGAGCTGGTCATCACTGTGATGGAGTCTTGACCTCATTTGCATATTACTTCCTTTTTTAAAATACCTATATAGATATAGATACAGATATAGATATTTCTATTGATTTCAGAAAGGAAGGGAGAAGAGAGACAGAAACATCAATGATGAAAGAGAATCACTGATCGGCTGCCTTCTGCACACCCCCAACTGGGGACTGAGCCTGCAACTGGGAATCGAACCTCAACCTCCTGGTTTATAGGTCAATGCTCAACCACTGAGCCACGATGGCCAGGCTTTATTCTGCTTTTTAAAAGTCTTCTGTAGCTCCACAAACAAGACAGAACGTTATATTTAGCTTAAAATACCCACCCAGTAGCATAGTAAACACTCAGTAATTTCAAGCATTCCAACCGACACTAGCAGCTGCAAGAAACAAGTCAAATATATTCCATACAACAAGGAGGCTGAGCCAGGCCAAACATGTAGGTGGCATGGGACAAACCACTAGGATCTCTGCGTCAGAGGCTCCGGAGGGTTCATTTCAAAACAGCCTTGCCACATTTGTTATGGAACCTGGTAAGGGTTGAAACATGGTACTTTCAAATACTCAAGGATTCCAAAGAGGAGGAAGGGCAGAAACTATAAATAGAAGAGGAACCAAAGGCAGTGCCCTGGAGTAAGAATTAACACTATTCCTCCTCCCCACCTAGATTGCCCCAGGGTTTTCACTTCTCTAAGCTATACTAACTTTCAAGTTCCACCAAGAGCCACTAGCAACCAGTAAGTATCTCTTCTCCAGCATACTACTCCCTCTGGGTTGAAAAGGACTTTCCTTCTTTCATGCCTTAGTGACTACCTTGTATTAAAGAAAGGAGTCGTGGGACTGCAATGCTAAAAATAAGGCAGAAGAACATGGAACTCAGCAGGTCCCAAACTCAGGTCCAAGATGAGCAGCTGGGTTAGAGAACTCAGGAAGTGTACTCTTTAAATTGCCTTGAATTCACTGCTCAAACCCAGCTCTCCGGGCCAATAACAGGATAAATTATTTGCCTCAGCACACACAGTGCTGGTGATTGCCTTGAGGAAAGGGCTTTGAGCAGAAGGAGGTGGAGAAGAGAGGGAGGAACAGTTTGGAATCCAGAAAGTCAAAAGAAAAAAAAGGGGAAAGTAAGCTCCTTTTTCACTTCATATTTTTTTTCTAAAACATTAAGAATTAGGGGGGTTATTTATAAAAAGAGTACAGTATCTGCTTGCTGTAACCTCTAGTAATATTAATCCTCCTCTGTGATGATTAACTTTACTCATGAAACTTAGGTTAACAAAAGAGTGGCAATTTTTTTTTAAAGAATAGTTTATTGATTTTTTTTAGAGAGAGAGGAAGGAGGAGGGAGAGAGAGAGAAAAACATAGGCCCCCTACCAGGAATCGAGCCCACAACCTGGGCATGTGCCCTGACTGGGAATCGAACTGGCAACCTCCTGGTGCAAAGGAGGACACTCAACCAACAGAGCCACACCGGGCAGGGCAACAGTGGCAAATTTAAATTGGACTTGGGATCTTCAGGAATTATTTGCCACTTAAAAGGAAGACTTTTTAAAGCAAAACCGAGGGCTGAATTCCTGGAAGACATAGCAGGAGGGAAGGGAAGGCCACTTACAAGTAAATAAAGCAGGAATAGCAATGACCATCTTAGTTTAGGAAAACTAGAACCTGACAGTTTCATAATAAGAAATTGGAGGAGAAATGACAACTCCAGCCCAGGAAAGGTCAAAACAAACAGCAGAAAAAGAGAGTAAGGGGGGGGGGGCGTAAAGGAATCTCACTTTTCTGTCTGTTTTAAAGAGGGACAATGAGCCCGGCCGGGATGCTCAGTGGTTGAGCATCAACCTATGAACCAAGAGGTCACCGGGTTCCATTCCTGGTCAGGGTGTTCAGGAGGCAGCTGATTGCTGTTTCTCTCTCTCTATCTCTCTCCTTCCCCCTTTCTCTAAAATTAATACAAACATTTTTTTTTTAAAGGAGGGACAAAAGCCCTAGCCAGCTTGGCTCAGGGGATAGAGTGTCAGCCTGTGGACAAAAGGGTCCTGAGTTTGATTCTGGTCAAGTGCACATACCTCGGTTGAAGGCTCCTCCCTGGCCTGGGCCCTGGTCAGGGTGCATGCAGGAGGCAACTAATCAATGTGTTTCTCTCACATTGATGTTTCTGTCTTTCCCTCTCTCTTCCACTCTCTCTAAAATCAATGGGAAAATATCCTCAAGTAAAGATAAAAAAAAAGAAAAAGAAGGCCAATGAATGGTTACTTTAATCCTCTGTGTGTTCTGGCCCTAGGAAGAATAAAACATAGCCTCCTCTTCGCAGCCATGACATAAAACTGTTACAGATAATTAGGCCACAAACATTCCCCTCCTCAAACTGAAAGCATATGAGGAGGGATTCTCAAGAAGGAAAAACAAGTAAGTAAATATGGAAGGTCTTTAAGTTCCCTGCCTGAAAGCATTATCAATGCTCTTTTGTTAACAGAGTTCTCCAGAGTGAAGCAAAAAGAAACTTGATATTTGGAGAAAAAAAAAATTTTAATGCTTTTCCGGTACACTGATGTTTTAGCTTTGAGTGGATTTTAAAATATTGAACCTGAGTAAACATAATTATGGAAAGTATAGAAATTTGTAACTGATCTTTTCAGGGAAAGGAATGCTTTTAAGGTAAGACAGTAAGTAGTGGTGAAAGAAATAAAAATCTTAATTTTGTAGATGCACTCTCCACACATTTCTATACCATTACAAGGCAACAGTAAAAAAAATTAACTTTTCCTTTTGAAAAGAATAATTAAATGATTTGTGATGATTTCTCAGTGATTCACATGAGAGCTTATATATGCTTATAAATTATACTAGTGGCCCAGTGCACGAAATTCGTGCACGAGTAGGGGGGTTGTGTCCCTCAGCCCGGCCTGCACCCTCTCCAGCCCCCATCTGCCAGTTTATAGGGATCAGGCCTAAACCGGCAGTTGGACATCCCTCTCGCAATCTGGGACTGCTGACCCCTAACCTCTCACCTGCCTGCCTG